CTTGTGAGATTAAGCTGTCACAGGTTATGAAGAGGGTTAATCATCAGAGTATTTAAATACATATTTATTTTGCTTATTCCTTGTGTGGTTGTGTTTTTTTTGTTTTTTGTTTTTTTTTAGCTGTACAGCAGGGGCATTTTCTCTTTTCCTGCTCCAATTTTGTGCTTACCTGAAATAAATCAGAAATGTGTTATATGGTACAAAAATAAACCTCAAGCCTGAAACAAAACATGAACTTCCCCATGAGAGTTCTTTAAGCTTCATTAAGTACACTCTTGAAGGGAAGGTGGATTAATAGGAAAATGCATAGTAAGATCAGCAGACAAAAGCAAGGTAGAAAGTAGGTTGTTTTGTTTTTAAACAGCAATAATATTCCTATAAGTGTGTCACAATTTTTTCTCCTTTCATATTAAAAACTCTGTGCAGCATTGTGATTTGACTCCACTCAGTTCTGTAGAATAGCACAGTAAGGTTACACAGTCCTTGCAATATCAGTGAAGAAATGCCCTTTATACAGACTATTTTTTTCACAGTTCAGCTTTTAAGTAGATCTACAATGCCTACATCCAAACAGCCAACACACAAGGTCCCAGCATCACGCACAAAAAAGTAACTAGCCCAGATTAGATCTTGAAAAGGAAAAAGAAAATGGGAAACTGCTACTAGAAAACTCATTCACAATCACACAGCCTCTAGTTCAGCAATTCACCCCACATTTCACTTCTGTAAATCACATATCAGCAGGTGACAAGTGAAACATCTTTCCTCACACCCACAAGAAGTCAAACACCTAAGATCAATCCTTTTCAAGATCTGAATGAGACCCTGACTTTGGCAATGCCATTAAGAACAGCAATATACACACATACAATACATAACCTAATAAGAGACGTTCACAATTTTCTAATCATATGCAAGCTTTAAAAATATTACTGTATCTACTTAATCCTCTACCCCAGTTTAATACTGATCTCATCTACAAGTTTTTCAGTATTGTTGAACTGTATCCTTTGAGGCAGCCTCACTTCAGTAGGAGTAGAAACTGCTTTTTGCACTATGTGATGAAATTTCTTACAGCACTTTAACAAAGGTAAAATAACATACAGGTCCATACACAAAGGATCAGAAACCTAAGGAATAATTTTAGAAAAGTTTAAATCGCTATTGTGACTCATGATGTTTGCAGTGCAGATAGGTTTTCAGACTGATTTTGAAGAAGGAAAACGAGACTTGGATATATTAATGAGAATATTCTGGAGGGGAAGCTCACTGCAAGCAAGTAGCTGATGAGAGAACTAGAGAGAAAAGGCAAAAGAGACACATGACCATTGGATTTATTGACTTTGATTTCCTCTATGGAGTCTATAAAATACTCCACTAAAGGGTCCAGCAGACAATATAGGATCAATCCTATACAACATAAAGCAGAACCGCATTTAATACGTATTTTAAGTAGTAATTGACTTTGAAATCTTTTGGGCAAATAAACTAAACTTAAATAAAGAAGATAGTATCTTTAACCAAAGTGGCAACAGAAATGATGGAGTGACATGGGCAATTAAGCATACACATCACAAATAACAACAGCCACCCTTAAGGTAGGCAAACAAATTGATTTTCTGCTTCTGTGAAGCTTAACAAGTGTTCTTCTAACAAACTTGCTTCCCAAAACACTCTCAAAGTACCACACTGATCAAATTTATTTCTTCCATTTAAAACAAACAACAGCAGCAAAACTCAACAATAAGCAAAACAAACAAAAACACCAGATGTTTATCTTTCAAACCCAGTATCATAATATCCTTAGAAGACCTCTAAAAGCACAGCAGCTAGTAGATACTGTGGTAGGAAGTTTCCTTTCACTCTCATCATAAAAAATACTTCTAAAGATATTGTCAAACATAATATGATGATTAGAAATGATTGACTGGCTTTCTGCCATCGTGCATTGTACTTGCTCAAAATTTATTTCTCATGCGACCTTATATGTGTAAATAAGGATAGACATATCCAGTTCAGAATTGACAAAACATCATTTTTCCTCTTTGCTGAGCTAGCTTCCCCCCCCCCCCCCCAAGAGCAATCTCACTAATATACAGTTGAAGCATGCTGGCAGAAGTCAGTTTGCCTCTTCATAAGCTGTGTAGGTGCTTGCTATATTTAAAACAGATTACAGTCTACAGTAAAAATGATTGATTTGGATCCAATAGAAGTATACTGAGGTACACAGCATACTTTTCAAAAAGACCTTAGTAGACCTTATTAATAAGATCCCCCTTAACTCTAGGGTTAAGCTCTAGTTTACCCTCTCCATAGGCAAACCAAGAAAACTCAGTGCACAAAAGCGCCCTCAACACTTCTCTCGTGTCAAGGCCAGCAAAAGCTATAACATGACCCAGCCCAGAAAACAAACAGTCTCTGTGATAACCCCATCAGCTATTTCTGCTAAGTTTTAGATGATGTCTGTAAGCCACAGTCAGAATTGCTCAGAGAGTTAAAACGAAGGAGAGAAGGCAGTGACAAAAGAACCCACGGGTGAGCCTCTGGTGAGTAGAAAAAAAGTCCTACAGACACCACCTGAGGAGCCCCAGGCCAACATGCTGTGCTTTATGTCAGCTGATAACTATCAAGAGAATTTACCACAAAACATTGAATCTCCACATACAAAGCATTTCACACAACAGCAAAAAGCAAAATCTTTCTCAGCCTAAGTCTTACCTGAAACTACACCGTACCTCCTTCATTAGTGCTACCCAACTGAACAGAAGCAGAGCCAGTACAGAACCTGAACCTCCTCTCCCCAACAATCTCTGGCAGAAATCAGTTACACAGCTGCCACAATCACAGAGGTGTTAACCCCTTCTCCAGCAGGCTGATTCTGCAAGCACAAATTACAACTGCTTCTCCTGAAGGAAACTTCAAGGGATAAACCAGTCCCTGAATGATAACTGTGTTTGAAGTAGTCATTACTTCTTAGGTACCCATCACTTAAGTTTAACTGAAAAGACAGCTCAGGCTGCTGCCTCTTTAGGTAGTCTGAAAAGCTGCTGAGCCTATTTTGGATAAAAAGTAATTTTTTCTCAGCAAGATGTACTTTATGTGAATACACTAAATGGAATTAGAGACTATAACACAACAAATATCATTTGTAGATGTTGCATAACTTTTAAAAGAATTCAATTCCTGAAAGCACTCAGAGACACCAAACTCCTATGCTTTAACTGCAACTCAAGTTGAGAGCACACAGTGAATTTTTGTCCATTGCTTCCCATGACGCGCAAAAATTTAGGTAATGAAAAGTGGTGAGAGGAACTGGGAAAGAGAAAGCTAGAAAGACCCGGTAGTGGCAACAGTGTAACATGCAGGGCAGAAAAGGAAATTACAAGGTCCCCTATGGAAATCCAGGCAATTCTCATCAGAATAGATGACACACAAGACAAACGCTTCTTCCAGTACATACATGCAAATGATCAACTCCCATTATTTATGTGAAGATTTGTGGTACTTTACGTTTCTCCTTTAGTACAGTTGGCAGGATTTGGATTCAATTCAGTTTCTCTGAAGCATTACATAGGGCCGTCTCATTTACAGAAGACTTGTAGTTAAGGAAGGAATAAGTAGATCAGGTGTGTGTTACGCAACTTCTCTTTTAGCCCCAGTCACAAAAAATGGTGCAATTGAGGACTTTTGTGAGGATTCTAAAAGCAGGAAGCTATTGCCAGACATTTTGTCCTGCGATGGAACATTAAACTGTATAACATTTTGTTCTCCTTTCAGAGAACAGGCTTCACTCTCTTCTTTTCTATGTGTAATTAATTGCCTATTACAGAGCATGACCTGCTAGATTTCAGGGTAGCTGTTAGATATAAAATAAAAACACGATATTGTTACAATTGGAAAGATTAGCATGACAGAAGGGCAACACAGAAGTAAACAGCAAAGGGACTAGCACAGATGGAACAGCGTTACAAAGGAAAAGAAAGGCACTCACCTGTCTCTGAGGCTCACAGGAAAGACTCCACAAGGGAAGAATCTCTAACTAGAGATTCTTTTCTAGAGGCAGTCAGCCCTTAAATGGGGTCTGAGAGGTGTAGCCAGGCTCCACCCCTTCCACTCACACAGTTGAACTGCCTTCAGCTGTGCTCCCAGGGCTGACGGGATCCTTCCCCAGGTGCTCAGTCAGTGGATCAGGCCATGACTTACAGTTACCATTGACATATCATTTGCAATTTTCAGAAATCTGAGGTGGTTGACACGGGTACACAACACATAGGGAACACTGTTTTTTCTTTCCTCTGCTTTCTTCCAGAACATGTAGCAATGAAGTACTTTCCATCAGTATACTGTAAACCTTAGTCTCCTACCCAGAGGCAAGACCATGAAGTGTAGGAGATCATTTATCATAGCTCATGAATTATATGTGTAAAGTGAATATTTTCTGTAGCATGATGGGGGAAAGAAGAGTAAAATTTGCCAATTGCAGTTATCAAGGCAATGCAGACTTTGCTAGAAGCATAAAATAATTAGGATGACGTCTCTGATCAAAGCAAGTGGTGCTCTTGCTTTTGAACTGATCCCGAGGAAAGACTCAGTCAGCATTTTGATAGAGTAAAACTGAAGTCCTAAAAGGTTGAGGTTATTAAAGATTTTAGAGTGTTGGGTTTTTTTCAGTGAAATCAGAGTTAGTTAATTCTCTAAGTACACTATATTTGAGGTAAGCATTTTCTCTAAAATATTAACTAGATATTTCAGTTGCTGTTCTAAAGCATTTTGTAAAGTTATAAAGCTGAGCAATAACTGCATCACGTTGTAGCTTTCAGTAGTTCCAGTCAGCATAGTCCAGTCTATATAGAGGACAGCAGACTGGGAGGTATAAATTTACTCCCTTCAGCTACCTGCAGAATTAGATAATAGACATGATTTTTCAGACAGAGACATCCAGATCTACCCAGCCCTTAAGGAAAGGATGTCTGGGAAATTAGGTAGGTCATTTCTGCTACAAGTTCTAAAGATAACTGCAGTGCAGCCACAAGCATCAATACTGTCAGCCACTGCTAAACATAACAATTATGTTTGTTCTTGTGCTCTAGTTAGGAAAGAGGCACATTAGAGAGGCTACATCCTCCGTCCTGAGCTGAAAAAGAGACAGAGGAGGTTACTATGCTTTAATTACAAGCACATCTGCAAGGTAATTTGCTGTAGGGATGGCACTTCCCACTTTTCTCATGGATAACTGATAAAGAAATGATAAGAATGCATTTTATTTCTGTTGCTTGATGAATGATGAAAATCAGATAGCTTTCAAACTTAATTAAACATTTAAATTGCAGATTTGGTGCTGAAATTCTGTGAGGTAGTAAGACCTCACAGATTTGTTCTAAAACTGTGGTCAAGTTTCACCACTTTGCCATCTTTCAAGTGGAAAGGCCCGCAGAAGGTACTGGTATTTTGGATCTTGAAGCTCTGGCAGCTTCCAAAGTTCTCTGGAATGCTGCATTGTGTTTCCATTGGTGTTACTAAAAACTTAACTAGTTATTTTTCCTCACACATCAATTGTAATTTTTAGCCAGTTCTTAATCCAAGCCATTTCCTGTTCATCACAGAGCATCCTGCAATCAACATCCATTCAGTTTTTAAGAATAAACACCCAAGATTTCAGCAGGATCCTTTAGTATTCTTTAAGACTGTGTGTGTGAGATGCAGAACATTTACATTAGGCTTTAGATATCTTTTTAATGAACTTGACCAGGCAGCTGTGTTATGCTGACTAAGGTAAAACGTACTACAGACTTCTGACAGCACGGGACTGGAGCCAGTTGCTTGTTTACAGCTAATAGTCACTACAGATTTAGTTCCAAGTTTTCTCAGTGCGGCCTTCTCCCATTTTTCCAACCTGGAAGGAAAGAAAAAAAGATAACAGAAGTTAGCACACAAGTAATTATTTTTCTTTCCCCTAAGGAATAATGATTCGTCTTCCATAGCAAAGGTAATTTGCATTCACTTTTCCAGTAAGTCTGCTGTGTTTATGCAGTTACAGCTGATAAAGGCTAACAGGTAACAACAAGCCTCTCTACAGAATTCAACCCTTTTTAACTAGATTTTGGAGTTTACAGGCTGCCAATTGTGGGTAGCTGGGGTTATGGTATTCTTCCTAACACTTGCTTATTTTTAAGCTTACAAAGATCTTAAAAGTTTTAAAAAATCCTCCTAAGATTGTAAAATTCATTTGAGGCAAGAGATAGTGGCAAAAGAGCCTCAATTGGCTTCACTGATCAGTTTTTGCAGCAAATGATTGTGCTTTCAGGTGCATCGGTAAAATAGAATGAAAGTATATAAAATTTCATACTTTTTCTGTGTGCCTAACATTGTATATGTGCACCTATCTTTGTAAACTACACTGCATTCATTATGCCAGGTTTGTTAGGTACACATAGGCAAGCCCACTTTTGGAAAATACAGAATTTCATTGTAAAACAATTTACCTTGAGAATCAAGTCGTTTCAGAAAGCTCAAACACAATCTTTGCTTACTAATAATAGGGCATTCTTGATGGAGAAAATATTTGAACACTGCAGAGTCTTTAATGTTTCCTGTGACTACAGTAAGTTGTATGCACTGACAGGAAGCAAAGGTCTTTTAGTTGCATAGGTTCACAGTAGGAGATTAAGATAACTGAACTGCATCTTATAAATGATGGGTATTAAGACAGTATACAGAAATTCCACCCTGTGTCTGAAAAAGACTACCAAGAGAGAATCGCATTCATCTTGGGCATTTGACAGCTTTTTCCTCTTTCCACAGTTTTAAAGATTACTTTTACACTGACTCATTATTTAACCAAACTTTGTACCCAGGAGCCATTTGGGATATTTGATAACACTAACACACCTTTCATAAATTGTAGCATTTTATTACACATTCCAGCTTCCTAGGTTCCAAATTTTCAGCTCTGAAACAACAAAGCACTTACACAAACTTCAAATGCCACCTCAGATGCACAGGAAAAATGGTATATTTTGCTAACTTCCTAAAGATGATAGAGATTTTTCTTAAGGTGTTTTCCAAGACATGTTAAAATTTGAACTTACATAGCTTCTCAGTCGCACTGATTTGGTAAGTGTATTTTCTCTACCAGCTGTATTTTGATTGTAAATTACATGGAAGAGAAACAATTTATTCTGCTTCATGAAACAGTTCTGAAGTTTTCTATTATGTTACTAACATCTTAATTGCTTTTTTTTTTTTTTTTCTGTTTATTCCAAAACCTTTAAAAATATTTTTTTTACCCTTTTTCTTATGACATAACTCATTCAGCATAACAATTGTATTTGTCAAAATAGAACAAACAATTTCTGCTTTGGATGATTTAGAAATCACATTACTTTATTGCCATGTACCCCAGAATCATTGCTGACCACTCACATTTGAGACAGTGGTCCTAGTTTGACTGGCCTCTGCAAACTGCAGTTACTGATAATATAAAAGGTATCATAGAAGTTATTTTTCCAGGTAGCATTTGCAAAGACAGCTCAGTGGCTTAACAACTAAATAATGCACATTCGATTTTCAAAAGCAAATGGGATTTTTTCTAGGAGCCAGATTTTGAGTGTACAGACAGATTTCAAAACGTAGATTTGCAATGCTTTTTATCATACAGGAAAACACCTGCGAGATTTTGAAAAGCTTACTGGTTTTCTTACCTGGTCTTTCAACATCTAAATACCATTTACAGTTTGGCTCTATGTCAGGACTGGTATTAAGACTTGGTTTGTAGGTTTCTTTGTTTCTTGCTTTGATTTCCAATAGTTTACTTGCCATATCCTATGGTAGAGAAAAATAACAGCCTTTCTGTGGAATACTCTTGATTATATGGAGAGCAATGAAAGCCAGTTGAGATGAGTATAAGCCATTTTACCATCTTAACAGGTTTTGGATCTGACCACAACAAAAGACTCTGTTGATTACTTTTAGTAATGGCACTTTTCATCTATTTAATTATTCCTCACAAACGCCTTTAAAAGGATTTATTTTCTACACAATACATAGATAAATTATAATGATAAAACATAACGTGACACCATTATTCTCTAGGAAAACGGCCATAGCTTTTGTTTTATTTTCTTCATGTTTAATGCAAGTAATTTTCCATACACGCAGAAAGCTGTGTGTATGATCATTTCCAGCAAAGATCAAAGGAGAATTTAATTTCACAGCTTATCAATAAGAAAATCTTTCATTTTCTCAACTAATGTTTATATTCATAGGTTGGAAATTTGAGATAAATTTCCATAGAAGAATAAAAAAGTATTCATTCTCCTATGAAGGCTGCAGTCTGCCTGCACATAGAAGAAAGCAACTCCTGCCAGACTGCTTGTTTCCTGGCTAGATGCTGGACAAAAACCAAAAAATATTTTAGTGCTCCTTCTGCACCAATGCACCATTCAGCACAATGAATTCCTCCACCAAATAAAAGGTGAACAAGACTGAAGTGTGACTTTGTGGCTTGAGACAATCAGAAAAATGCTGCTCAAGTCCATGTGCTCTACTGCAAATTAAGTCACTGCTATCCTTCAGTTGCCCTTCTAAAAACAAAGAGAAAAATATTTACACAATAGGTGCAGATCTGCATAGAAGCCATTGATGTTATAAGCTGCTTAGCAGTTCTACCAGATACAATTTGCCATGAAGTCCATGGAAGGTAGGGAACCTAACCTCAGGCCTTAAAGAATTTAGCCACCTCATTTTCAAACTTGCCATAAATAACAGCCTAGTAAAGATAATTATTTATATGTGACTAGTGTACAGGTACAGAAAGAGATACTACAGAAGAATATATATTAAGATGTCCTGAAGAAGAATTCATTAACAAAATCAGAGCATAATTAGTTACTAGCCAAAGTTATGTCTCCAAGCATGACTAAGTATGACTGACAGTAATGCTGTGATTAAATGTATGTCCGTCCTAAAAGTGAGGGAGCTGTGAGAAACAAGGAATGCACAGAATCCCAGAGAGAATGATGCACATTCATCTTGTCTGTGCTTGCAGAATCATCAGCCTTGAGTAAGGAAAGACATATGATTACATTTTCCTAACAAAAGTCTGCACTATATGAGAAGGAGATTCATTATGTTGATAAGGATTTTAAAGTATTCCTTTCAGCTAACTGTGGAAAGTCAGTCACAGAACTATTTTGTAGACACTTTTAGCATAACGTATAGGGATGGGACGATCCTTGATCACCAACACCATTAAGCAAGTAAGCACACATTCAGTTGAAGGCATGTGATTAATCCCAAACTTCAGCAGACCTCTTAGGTTTGAGTTTAAGATTCTGGCGTACCTCACGGTTCACTACTCAGACAAGCAGAGATAGCCTCAAGTGCTTGGCTCAGAAAAAGAAATCTCCAAAAATGTCATTTTGATTTGAAATCTAAATTCATCCTAAAGAAAAACTCTGATGTGAAAGTACATTTGTTTCACCTACAGTAGGCAAAAGAGAGACATGTTCAGGTCTTCTAGCCTGCAGGCCTGTGCCATTCCTCCACAAGTACAAAATATCAAAAGTTTTTTGATGAGGTGAGCATGAATGAATTCTCTGTTTTCCAAATCACCAAGACTTGGCTGCAGAAGAATTCTCTGCCTAAAACATGGAGAAAGAATGAAAGGAATGTGGGTGTTCTTCCCTCTGGGGTTTAGTCTTGTTTATTTTAGAAGGCTAGCATCTCAAAAAGCTGACTTATGCTCCACAGCCATGTGTGAGTGATTTATATAATTTAGTGTAATTTGAAAAGCAGTTCTCTGCAACTCTGACTTCAGCAAAGCACAGAAATGTGTGCTTGAATGCCACTGTGAACAGATCTTTTCCTAAAACTAAGCTGGGCACGATTCATTCAGCAGTCCAACATCTTATCCTCTTTTACATCAACAATTGTTTTGTTTTTTTCAAAATAATATTATCGAGGCTTTAAGAATTTTATTTAGAGCCAGGCTGTTGAAAGAACAGGGTCTGCCACAACCAAAAGACAGATATGTGTCACCAAAGAGAGATGCACAGGACAATCCAGGAGTAAGACACTTGCAGGCAGAAAAATCATGCTGATTCTTCTTTCATGAAAGAGCCCAAGTGTGAAAGAGAAGTCATAGGAACTGAGAGAAAAGGCAGCTACAGAATATTGGTGCTGTGGCCCAGAGGGAAATTTGATAGATGAAATTATGAGCTGGCAAGAGCTAGAAAGGAGTTTCTGGTACCCACAATTTTTGCTAAGGGCCTAGAACATCAGAAAAGTTGTGCTGTCAACCACTTTCACACAATGATTTCTATATTTCTTCTACCGTAATGCATCAACATAATGATACTGCCTATCTTGTCAAGGCTCAAAAGTAAATACAGTAAAAAAAAAAACAACAAAAGCAAACAAACAAGAGACAACAGTGAAAGAGTAAACACAAATAAGAGAAATGCAACTTGACAGGCAAGTTTCAGGCTTTTTTTTTCCCTCTCCTAAATATAACTGTGATTTCCTGGGGTATGGTATTGTTCAGATTTTGACCCACTACTGTTTATCATATAGACATCAATGTCATTCAGCCTTCACTCTGACTTCATTAGTCATTACAGCAACTCCATGTTAGAGTCTTCTTACCCTTCACTTCAGGTTTCTGGTTATTTCCATCAAAACCAGCAACCTCTCACTTCTAGCAAATCCTGATGAACATAACAGAATGTAGCAATTAGTAGAAGCCAAAGGCAGCAGTATCAGAACTTCATCTTCTGTGAACACTTCTCTCACATTTCTGTACCCATATAAGAGGTCTAACAAATTACTGTGTTTTATTTTGCAAGATCTTACTGCATGAAGTCTTAATTCATTTGCCAAGACAACTTATTCCTCCAGATAAGGTGGATGCAGCCAGGTCTCTTATCTCTTCTGTATGGGAGTCCCATACAGTCATGCCTTAGAGGACATTCACACTTCTATTTGAAACAGAAGAAAATTAGAAGCTAGACTGCATATCTAAATTATACAGGGAAGGAAATGTGACAAGGGCAACTAGGACACAACCAGTTCTTCAAGGTGTTAAGTTTTATAGAACAAGTATATTAGTACTGAAGCAAAATTCAATGCCTCTAGAAATTACTGTGTGTCATAAGGATTTCACAGCGGCCTTAACATGAATTATTTATTTTTCTTTCTATTTATCATTTCAATATGTAAAGTAAGCACTTTCACAGCCATTTCCCAGACAGCTGCAGCTAGACAATTTTCAAAACTAAACTGAGATCTTACTTGGACACTAGTCACACCCCCATATTCAGGATTCAGTCACTTTAAAGCATTCTTTCAGGATCTCACGATAATTAGAGCTGGTGAAGTCAAACCATTTGGCCCATGCTTTACCAACACTGCTGCAGCAGCTAGTCCATGACAGTGACTACACAAAACTTTGTCAGAAGTATCAGCCCAGGCCTTGCCTGAAACAAGCTGCAGTTTCCCACAGGCACAAGTTGCAGTCATGCTGTTGTCTGTGACCACGCCATAAGTCAAACCAGTGACATTACATGCCTTTATATTGCCTTCCTTTCTCCTTGTGCTCAAAAAAGGGCAAGTTATTTTTAAACCAAAACATATCAGTGACCTTTGCGCACTGCTTTTCTTGCCTTTTCTGAACTGCCTTTTCCTGTTACTATATTGGGATTTTTGCTTCAAAACATTTTAAATTTAATTCTGCCATTTCTCATGCTACTTGAGGCAGCACTCGTTTATAAGAGCATCATAATTTTAGTTCAAAACTATTCTCATAAAATTAGAATATATACACTGAAAGCTGAAATTGCTGTCCATTGTGTACAAAGCACTTAAAGTGTTCTCCACTAATTACTGCCTGTAAGAAGAATTTTGTGGATCTGAACTGTGTTACACAGTTGCATTTTTCAAGTCACCCAATACAGAAATTCTGAAATTCCGGTTTTAGACTTTATTTTGAACTTTATTCTGTCTACAAAGGACAAGATATTTCCCACTCAGCATAAACTAGATGGTACAAAGGTAACTTGTCAACTTAAAATCTTATTAGAAACTGCACAGTGTTTTAAACAAACTCAGCATTTTTTGCCAAAGTGACCAAAGCTTCTTTCCAGAGCACAGAGTGGGAACTTATTAGGTAATTAAAACATCCCAATCATACAAGCTACAGAGTACCTGGACAAAAGTGAAGTCTCTTGAACAACATTGGCCAAGCCGTTCATCTCTATTTCTCCTTCCAAAGATTTGTCATCTTGAACTCTTTAGCGCACACGATGGTAGTCATTATTTAACACAGTGCAATGAGGCCTCAAAATTTGTTGACAAATCAAGGAAGTAGCATAAAACATATATAAGGTGCCAGTGGAGATAGTGGAATGGAGCTGAATTTAACACAATCTCTAAAGTTTCAGTAGTACAAAAATAGTAAAAGGCCTAAAAATTCCAAATTTATCAAGCTTTTCAATGTTTGTGCCAGATATTTTACTGAACTATAGACAAGCACTGAATCTGAATAGCAGTAGAGGGCTCCTCATTTGTCATCAGACACATACACATTCAAGTTTTTGTGCACCTTGTTCTCTTGCTCATTTCTTCACAGTCACATGAATCATAAGATATGGTATCACTCTACATTCCTTTTACACTTCACAAAAAACTCTGTATCCGGAAGATCCACTGAAGTTACCCACATCTAACACTTCACCTCCCTTTTAGGATTTGACAAGACATGGCAACGTTGCCAAGAGGAATCAAACCACGTGAGCTTGCAGCTTTGAGCGCAGTAAGAGCACCTAAATTCCATCATGTGGTACCCTGGAAGGCTGAACTGAATGAAAAGTTTACGATAACTCCTCAGCACAACAAAGCAACCCCAGATCTGTTATTTTAAATCTCATCCATAACTTTCAGTTTGGCTTTCAGGCACACACAAACCTTTATGGAATCATCATTTCAGTTTTGTTTTGCACATAATTTTGTTTAGCATTCCTTTTTTTGTTTAGCTACCACTTTTACTACGTCATGGATTTTACAGCTTCCTCTCAAGCTAAAGGTTCTTGCCTATGCACAGTAGATTGAAAGCTTTCTTATTAATATTTTACCATAACAACTCTCAACACTTCCGTGGTCTTTTGAGAACAGACATCAACCAAAATTGATTAAATATTACAAAAACTGCATTTTTTAAAAAGAATCTTGAATCATGCAGTATTTCAGTAAATGATGTAATGGTCGGAGTAAAGCAACGTAGTTCTTGAAGCATAACCTGCCAGATATTAAAGTTCTTACATTCTCCTATCAATTAAATATGAAAATCGGTTACTTTGAACAGCACTAATTTCAGCTATAAAATATATACTTAATATTTTAAACAATGCAGCAACTTCTTTGTTTCTAGAATTGTCAAGTATGTGACAATATTTTAGTATGCTTTGGCCTATTAATTCTGCACTCTAAATATTTAAGCCACTTGCTTATAATAAAAAAGCACAAGGTATATGTTGAGAAATGATTAATCATTTACATTTTTATAATATTTTCCATCCAGTAAAACTAAGGGAAGTTTTATAGGTTGCACAAGGGTCCGTTTCCTTGTTACAGCCAAACAGGGTTTCTGCAAAGCAGAATTTGAATACAGAACTAATTTAATAATAGATAGCAACCTTCTAGTGGAGAAAAAGAGTAATTTATTCAGTTGAAGTTGGAAATTCAATAATTTAACAGCAACATAGTACTCTTGATTCGCTTTGGTGCACTGACTGATATTGGAGCGGAGTGCAACTCACAGCTAACCAACCTCTGGGAAATCTCTACCTTTAGGTATACAAAATTGTATTGGTTCAGCATTGTATAATCAATCAACATACAGGTGTTATAATTAAGAAATATACAGGAGAGTTTGGCTAAGCAGGTTATTACACCAGGAAGAATAGATAGAGGGTTTACCCTTGTCCTGGGCTTGATGGAAAACTCCAAAAGGAGGGATCTCCAGAAAGAGATCCTTCCCCACTGGTAGTCAGCTCTTAAATGGGGTCTAGGAGAGGTGAAGCCAAGCTCCATCCCCTTCAGTAGCACAGGTGAATTGCCTTCAGCTGTGCTCCCAGGGCTAATCATTGCTCATCTCAGGTGATCAATCAGAGGTTCAGGCTGTGATTCAGCAGTTCCCATATAAGTGTCTATTGACATTGGAAAGATGGATTTGTGCCATTAAAGCTTCTTTCATGGTCATGATGGAAAATAAACTTGAAATCTGAAATGCCATTTATTGTTGCAAAAATCAGGAGCATGACTCAGTCTTTGCTGTTATAGTGCTAGCTTGGGTGATATGGCATGAATGATTCTGTGTCAGCAGTACAGCTATACCTCTTAGTGTACATGATGTTCTTTCCTCTACTGCTGATCCCATATGCTTAGTCTCTCATGCATGTTTTCTGTAACTCTTCATATTACACATTAACTTGCCTGCATTTTCTTCTTCAGATAGCAGTTTTGGTCAGCTTGCTACAAATCTTAAGACAGGGCATATATTCATCATCAAAATGAAATAGGATAAGACAGCAACCCAGACAGAATTTATGCAGAATCTGAAGAAGAGCAAGTGATGGTTTACACATTTACATAGCATGTAGGAGCTACCTGCAGATTTCTAACATGTAATTCTTGATTTGATTCTCTATCACATCTGCTACCTAGGAGACTGCCTGTGGCTACCAAATGCAGTATGACAGTTGAAATTTGCTAACCCTTAACATGGCCCTATTCTGAATAAATAAGAAAATGATTTTGCACTTTTTCTATGTTTTTTGTCTCACTGACTCGAAAAAGGCAGTCTGACCCCTAGGACACACTTCAAGGTTTTTGGTTTTGCATTTTAAAAGTGCTGAAGGGCAATCATGCCACTGATGCAATGGTATGATTATTAATCATTGGTTCTTCATAGTAATTGAATTAGATACTTGGGAGTAGCAATTTTCTTTCTATGCTAATTATGGTGTTTATTGTCCAGATTTCTTATGCTTTAAGTTAGTTGACTGAAGTGCCTAGAGAACAGATATCTTCTGATTTTATGAAAGGATCGGAACTAAACGGACAATCACACAAAACAAGTCTGCTCTGATATTAACCCACATTCAAGAAAAATATTTAGCAAATACTTAGCTGTTTTGAAGCTTTAGTTGTTTATTTTAGCTTTTCCTGATGCTCACTAAAAACCTAGCCTCAATAGAAGAATCCATTCTAGAAGACGCAGAGTGCCAACAACTTGTTTCAAGATCCACTCTGCCAGTGCAGGGCAGGCATACAGTGGTGCTGGGTACAGAGGCACACACTGCTGTTCACTCCTAAAATATGTAGCATCTCCTCAATCACAGATATAATTAAACAAACTGGCCAGCAGAGACCTAATTTACCTTCTAACCAACCATCTGTGCACTTAGGCTGGCTCCAGGATGGCAGGATCTATAACCCATTTCACCCCCACCCATCCCTACCTATTTTTTCTGCAGTGACAGAGAGTGAACTGGAATGCAGATGCAAAATGAACCAGTTCATGGAACTTAATCAGAAATACGGAGTCAGATAAGCACGACTTTTCCTCAGTTTTCAATTTTGCTGCATGGTGGCTGATCAAACAACTGTAGAGTTGTCAGCTCCTAAATGAGGATAATAGCAGGAATATAGAGCTGAGTTAGCAGGAGTAAACAGTTGAATCTGCTGATTCAGCCTCTCTTTTGAAACTTCCTTGTTATGTTGGCTTCTCACTGCTACAAGGGCAGGGGAAGAGCTCAAGACAACTCCTCCAGTAGCATCTGTACAAATCAAGGGGGGGGTTTCTCTTACTTATTTCCTGAACATCTATTTTAAAACTTTTCCTAAAACATAAACCTGAATTTAATAGAAATACTTGAACATGAATTATAATCTCCTTCTTTAAAATTTCATCTCCATCTTGCTCATCAATAAGTATTGAAGCTTGTTGTCTTTTTTTATCTATCTATCTCTACCTAAATTTCAAAGTAGACCTTCCTGTATGGTAAGGACTGACAGCTTTATAGCGATGGAAAGCCCTATGATCTTGGATTCTTAAAGAACAAAAACATGAAAAAGTGATTATTTTAGGTAAGTCTATGATTCTATGAACCTGGAAAGGGTTCTGAAGGTTAGGTACAGCATTCTCCTTTGCCTGAAGCCACTGCACTTAATCACCAATGTTTACAGCTTTCTGGATATGAAGATCAAAAACAAACAAACAATAGAGCTAGTGAAGATTTTTAAGCGTCTCTGACCCTTCAAAAGTAGTTTGTGCACACCCAGTGTGCCATCCCCTAAATAATTATTTGTACAGTTTAGATATCTCCTACACAATTAGGCCATGGCTTCACTATTTCAAACTTGAACTCACTAAACCTTTGAACTCATTACAGTAGCACTCTGTTGCATACATGAAGAACTTAATTTAAAATCAATATATAATCCAATTACTAACTTGTGAACAGGAGAGAGATCTCTCCCAGTATTCTTTTTTCCCTATTGTGGATGCATACTAAGCTCATATAAAGATTTTTGAATGTCTAGTTGCTTATAACTTGTTTCATGTTTGCAAAATTAATGTGATTTTTATTACCACAAGTGATAAATATGGTTTTAGAAATCATTCACCACTCAGACACTTACATCACCTGAATTAAACCCTCTCAAAATATTTGAGCCGAAGCATCCATCCCACCATCACTTGAAAAGGCAGAACTGTGTGCATGCTGAAAGGACACAGCCCGTAAGTTAAGGCACAGACAGCGTACACAGCACAATGAGCTCTTAGGGGAAACAATTTTTTTACTCGTTGGTTTGTGGAGCATCTATTTTATCACACTACACTTTTCAGTTTGGCCTTCACTGATGTACTGAAGATCTCACTTGGGAATTCAGAATGATAATTTTTCCCCCACTTCCCTTGAACAATTAACTGTAATGTGCAATGCAGCAATAATTTACAATGTGGCTCTAGGCTAAAAGCCTACTGCAGATTCTTTGCTAGAAATACTTATTAACACAACTAATATCAAGGTCATTCTCAAAGCCTTTCAAGCGCATCTATAGAATTTTTGCATTTGTTTGCCCAGAGTTAAGCTGTAAGGTCCATTACATTAACAGACACATGTAAGATCTGGTTTTACTCAATCTGTTTTAAAATTTATTGTCAAATGATTTTCATGTCTTAGGAAGCAAAAGCTCCAAATATAAATGCATCTCTGACAGAAACATTTATATACAGACCGATTTAAAAGATTGCAGAGTCTATCTGTCATGATACTATGACGTCTAAATATATAGCATTGCTGTTTTGGGGGAGTTCAAATTTTGACCTCCATATATTTTCTTACATACTAATGAAATGAATTTAAAACTTAAAATAACCTGTTATTTCAAGTGCTTGTAAGTTTTAGGCAGTAGGCAGTAAATTTACTTTTATATAAATAAATGTTATCTCATTACCAACAATCTCCATTAGAATCTAGCAGACCATGAAATAGACTTTGCAAGATCAAGCAATGTGCTAAGGCCCAGAAAAACATTATTTTAGCTCCCAGCTTCAGAAATTATGAGGGAAATGAAGCACTATATTACAGTTTGAGGTACACACACTATATAAGCCTTTTTAGTCAGAAGCACTAGGAAAGAGGAGATTATTCGTAACTGCAAAAAGTACAGTTAGGTTATTTGGCACCTTTACTTTAATGTTCTAGTGCTTTTAACTTCTTACAGAATGTGCTTTTACCAGAGAAGAGGTTGTAATACTTCCAATATAGGATAAGCTCATTTTAGACAGCAGAGGAGACAACTACATACTGACGCATTACCAGAAGCAACTTGCCTATTCAGAAAAAAAAATATTTGCACACTATGGTATGAAAAAAAAAAATCAAAGCAAAACAATTAAAAAAAAGTGTACCAGCTAAATGTAATACTTAGGCATCGTATCTTGAACTGGCATTTAAAGTCTGGGGGAGGACAGTGAATATGTAAGAGAGACAGCTCTTGCACATGGCTTTAGATCTGGCAAAGAACACAGACAGAACTAGAAGCTGATGATTGTGAGTTATTCAAAGCAAATGTGAAGTTCAGGCAAGGAGACCTGCGGAGGGGTCAGGTGAGCTGGGTTCCTGAGGTGACGCTCGGCCACGCTCTCGGGGCAGGTTTCAATCCAAGACTGATTCTGCAAGTTCTGTAAAGGTTGCTGTGACTTCCAGATTGACTGCAAGCCTAAAAGTTTCCTGTAAATTTGTGCCTGTAAGTAAGACAGACCCCAATTAGTATAACCAAAGTGAGAATATTTGGACAATTCTAATACTACAGATTTTCAGCAGCCATTTCACTGGTTAGCATTTTTCCCTCCTAACCTTAACTCTGCTGTCCTGTTCTGCAGTGTGACGGAAAGCAGGGAAAAGGGCTTACAGTACACTAAAGTCCACAGAAAACAAATTCATTTAAGAAACAAGGCGTTCCTCATAGCTAAAGAAATAAAATGTATTTTCCATTCTGTGAATACTACATTAAAAAAAATAAAACATTATAAAAAGAGGAAATGTTGCAAGTCAAAATAAGAATGCTTTTAAAGTTAAAGTTTTTAGCAGTTCATCCAGCCTTACTTTTTCTTAATCCATATAAGAAGTTATCAGAATCAATTCTAGAATATGGAGATGCAGATGTGGCCCCTGATCCCTTCTCTTGACTGAGGAACAAGGCAGAACTTTGAGAAACACTGAGAAAACAGCAGGCCATCTGAGGATACGGCAAGCACTGTGCCTCGCCCCCAGCCAGTCACTGTTCATTTTCTGTAACCTGGAAGAGAGGATTAGGGCATTTTTGTTTTGTTTTCTTGCTTGTTTTGAGAGAAGCCCAAAGCCCTTTCCAACCTTCATCTCCCAGGATTTATTACTCCCTAAGTACCTGGCTGTCTTCCCAAAATACTGTGAAGGCAGGACAGGAAGAAGTGTCCCCAAAGGCTCTTAGAAGACAGAAA